GTTCTCACAGAATACCAGCGAAAAATAGCAGATTAATGCTGCTTTGCTTCTTCGTATGATGAGTTCAGAGCCGGGATACCCTTATAACTGGAATTGAGTCAGTACATATTAGTCCTCAGTGGTGACAATTAGTCCTTAATCGAGGATAAATGTAGATGTCTATGGGTCACAGCATCCATTTACCATTAGGTGAAATGTGTGCTCCTGTCACGCTTATTCTTTAATAAAACGTTTGAAAAAACGTGGGTACTACAACCTACTTGCATGCCAATGGGTATATTACCTTAATTCTATAAAAATATTGCCTCATTAGAGGTATGGTCTGGGTATGGGTCCTAGTGGCTCAAGGGTTGAGCTCTTGTCGTTGATTTCACAGTAAGTGATCAACGTGTGCAACTTCTTCGTTTTGTATTTAGTTATTAAGGTTTTTGTCAAATAAAAATGCTCAGGTGCAGCCCGGAGTCAGGAAGTTACAGTTGTTTGGTGTGGCATTTATATTAAATGTCCCCTTTGTGATGCATGGGGGGCCTATATTGAGCAGTAGACTTTGAAAGACTGTTGTGACTGAATAAATTAATACATAGACATACAGAGGTGATAGACATACAGAGCCGTGGTAGCTCAGGTGGTTAGCGCTCGCTGTAAATTTCACAGTACGCGAGCAAACCGGATTCGATCCCCGCCGGCACCAATGAAATTGTTAATTGCAATTTTAAGTGCTGATTTACCACGTGCTTGGCGGTGAAGGAAAACATCGTGAGGAAACCTGCATGTCAGAGAAATAGGAAAAAATCTTTCGAAGACATGTGAAGTTCGCCAATACGCATTGGGGCAGCGCGGAGGACAATTTCTTGCCCTAAAACCCTCTCAGAAATGAGCGGAGGCCTGTGCCCAGCAGTGAAACGTATATAGGCTGTAACTTTACTTTACTAACATTATACAAAGGTGTACACATACATTATTTTATGTAAAACGTGCCCATTTAAACATTGTATGATTATCTTTTGTCACCCATGTAAATTGCTCACACCGGACGCGATGACTAAGTATTTAACATGATGTTTTCGATGTTTGTATTGTTTATTTTCTTACAATGATCATTGTAATTGTTTTAGTGATTAGTGAATATAGATAAACACAAACAAAAAAGTCAGTCCTTCTGACAATGCCAGCACTCACCAGTGTATTTAAGAGATTTAAAACCCGTCCCGTGAATTACATAAAGTGAACATTTTGATTGTTCTATTGTGTCTATATCGCGGAGAGGGAAACTGATAAAACATTTATTAACTTTGACTTTCGTAGTGCAGTTCTGATAAAGAGGACATTAGAAGTTTGATCATCCATTCATCAATCTATCTATTAGAGCTTATAAAAGTCCACCGCTTAACATAGGCCACTCCCATAGGTATCTTGTAGCGGGGATTTTGTCATAGTTGCTACGCTTGCCAGGAGGGTTGGCAAATGCAGTTTTTTTTTAAATATTGAGTTGTTATCAGAAATATGCTTCTGATCATATACTGTGTCGTCTCTTGCGACTCCCACGATACGTATCGTGGGAATTAATTAATTTTTGGGAAAAAGTTTCTTCGTATTTTATATACAAATTCAAGACTTTTTTTTTTTTCAAAGTTTAATTACATTTAATTATAATATATATGTGCCATTTTGTTCGATAACTTGTTGCGTTCTTGTAGGTAGTGACATAATCCCGTTGCTGTTAGAAATCTTGGGATTTTTGATCAAAAAAATGCGACAAGTAGTTTTGACAGTCCTCTCTTGATGTTAACTTAACACTACCCAAAGAATTCTGAAGAGATTTTGGATGCATTAACACTTCTCAATAATATTTGCTGAGTGACAAAAACCTTATTGACCGTTTAGATCTATAAGAACCTTTCATTTACATAAATAGATGAACTCTCACATATGTCACTGAGAGGAATAGGCAGAGACTAAGGATTTCCATTTGGCACGATCCCGAAACACCTACACACATGCTCGTCGGTTGATGGTATTCTTTAGTTGGCCTATCTTCAATGTATATCGATAATTTGGTCGATACTCTTACGAACTTACATCTATGTTGATTTACCACGTGCTTAACGGTTGATGAGGATATATAAGAAACCTACTTTTCTGCGAATAGATTTTTTATGGGATAAAAGTGACAAACGAGCACACATTCCAACTGATGTTAAGTGGTTCCTGTGGCTCATAGAGACATCTACATATATCCTCGGTTACGAATCAAAATGCAGATGCGTTGTCTCGCGTGAGGACCAAGATGGAATGACTCGTTTCTAGTAAAAAGGGTCTCCGGTGCTCTAGGCTTACCATACGAAACAGTAAGGTTAGCTGCTATTTTACGCTGGTATTCTGTGAGAGCGTGGTCCTTCCCCGGTCGAGCCGACCCATTCGTGCTACAACTATACTAGTAATATAGCTGCAGCATGGCTCTGCCACGTAAAATTTTATACAAAGATTGTTATTCAATATAGATTATTACATATATTGATGGTAATTTTTATCACTGGTTCTGAAAATACCTCTGTCTTGGGAAGAACCAGCAAGAAACCCAACCGAATTTTTTTAAAACCATATTTCACTGTACAATAATTTTGTACAATTTATAAATGAATTTTAATGGTACCAACATTGTGGCGATTACCTTATTCCCAGGGGTTATCATGTAGTCCTTTAAAAATTTTTGTACATTTTTCTTTAATAAAACTTAAACTTGTTTATTGGCGAAACTTTGAAAGTTTTCTAGGATATTGTTGCAAAAGCGTATAGGTACATTGCCCCAAAAATGAATTACTAATTCTGTGGTCTAGTAACTGATAATACAAGCAAAATTCCATAAGACATTGCACTATGAAAGTAACTTAATAAACTAATCTAGCTGTCTCAATATTGGTGAGACTTCTAATTTTTCTTACAGCATATGCTGCAGAACTAAGTCTGCTTGCTAATTTAGATATATGTGGGCCCCATTGAAGCTTCGCGTCCATAAATCAGTAATACTAAGAAAAACAGTGGTATCCACTTACATCCACACAACAAAACTTAAATCTTTCAAAATTATGGTAAAATCCTCAAAAAAGAGCCATACGCTTTGCAGTGTAAATGCTTTTACATTACTGAAGTATTGAGGTATATCGGATTTAGACACGAAGACATCTAGTTTTATAAACTCCTGGTCGCTTTAGAGTCAGACTGGATACCTATTCTCTCTATTAAAAATACGAAGACCTAGCTGGTATCGGTACAAGGTCGGTACAAGGCGTCCTAGAGACTGTGCCCAACATAGACCTATATTATATTATAATTGGAGCAAGAGTGATAAACGAGCACACAGTATTGAGATTAAGCTAAGATGAGATTTCTCGTTACCAGTAACGAGGGACCAGTTCTTACTCACCATACGAAACTTAGCGGCATTATGCTGGTATTCTTTGCGAGCGTTGCCATTTTCGGACAATTACGAAAAATATTCTATGCTAATCATTAAGCATTACAGGTGTGTGACGATTTCACTTTAAGGAGATGAGATAACATTTTAAAATTGTACTCATTCGGGCTAGTTCCAAGTCCACTGAAATCTTAATATATATAAATTACGTGTCACGTTGTTTGTCCGTGATGGACTCCTAAACTACTTAACCGATTTTAATCAAATTTGCACATCGTGTGCAGTTTGGTCCAACTTGAGAGATAGGATAGTTTTTTCCCCATGAGTGACCCACAATTTTTTTTTTTGCGAATTTTAGGATTTTTAATAGGACATGACAAAGGGTCGTCGAAAAGGTTAGAACAACGTCTGCCCGGTAAGCTAGTATAATATATAAGATAGATAGACAATTCAATTATATATATTCAATTATATATAATATAATTTACTTGTCATTTTGTATATTATGTATCCATTAGTAGTAGTAATGTATGAACTAAGTTTGCCATTTTAATATATTTTCCTTTATGGGTCTACTGTAACATATTTGTTATTCTGTATTATAGAATAAGTAGAACCTTTGTACGAACTCATTGTATTATTATTTCTGTGTTTTTTACGTGTACATAAATAAATTAAAAAATTTTTTATTGCACACAGTAAACAAAAATAAGATGTAAAAAAACCAATGCGTAGTACAATAGGTGGTCTCAATCTTATCGCTAAAATAGATTTCTTCCACACAACCTTTGTATTTGTCAATGATTACGTACACTTTCAAAATTACGTTCGTTGCTGAAGTTATAACGTCATAACTGCGGAGACAATTCTGCAATTCGCACAGCATTCGTTTCGCAAATCGATTGTATGAATTAACGCATTCGTGTCGACTTTCCGATCTTGATGGCCTAGAAATCCTTAATGAAAGCGATTAATGTAATTAGCTTTTAAAAAGGCACATCGTTAACCTCTTTATTTTACTGGTCAGTTGTTGTGGGTGTACTATACGGTTGTAGTTATAGTTATTCGCTACTTGGGAGGAGCTATAGACATGTACATTACACTATTCCATTGGTGTTAGGTGGCTGGGCTCCTTTTCTGCTTTACGTACGCAGTAGGCTCCGTAGCAACGAGCCAAGTAAGCTTTCAACCGTTTTATAACATTTTTTTATAAAATAAGGGTGGCAAGCACAGTGTACCTGATGGCAAGTGTATGCTGTGGCCCCTAGAGATCTCGGTCTATCTTCAATTAACAATCAAACAACAAATGCTTTGTCACCCTCGAGGACTAAGATGGTATGCCTCATTTACAGTAACAAGGTTCTCTGGTTCTCTACAATCATCATACGAAACAGCAGCAACATTATATATTATAAATATCTACATTATATATAATATTCCCCGGTCGAGCCGACTCACTCGTGCTACAACCATAAATAGGAGCGCGTCTCTACTACGTTTATATTGCAAACCATGCAGATGTCTGTAGTCTTTGTCGTTTAACTGATTCTTCTCGGCGCAGGTGTGCGGTGCAGCATCCAGCGCGATGTCGAAGAAGCCGGCGGCGCAGCCCACGCTGCACAAGGTGATCATGGTCGGGTCCGGTGGCGTGGGCAAGTCCGCGCTCACGCTGCAGTTCATGTACGACGAGTTTGTGGAAGACTACGAGCCTACCAAGGCAGACAGTTACCGCAAGAAGGTGAGGAACATCGTCGGATATATTGGATATTATTTTCTTATTTGGATACTTTGTATTTAAGTTGATTCTTAATCAAAATATGAATTCTCTTAATAAAAACTTCTCTTGTTGTGTTGCACGAACAGATTATTATTCTTTTTAAGCGTTACCTCCACTTTAGGATTTTCTCCTGTATCAAGGTGGCAGTTTGTGTATATAAATTGCACAAGGACAAACATCCAGACCCGGAACAATTATTTGTTAGCCATACAAATACATGTTACGTGCGGGATTCGAACCCCCGACCCTTAGCGCTGTAACTCATTGCTACGCGACGGAGCCGGCCATTTGTTTCTCATTAAAAGCTACATCCCTTTTTTTTTACCTTAAGAGATGGACCTTTTAATTTATATGGGATCAGCCCTGCTTTAATTCCAGCCATTTCCGAGAAATCGATAAACACAAAAGAACATACGACAAACATGTACTATTGAATACAGAATCTCGTTTTTTTTTTTTAATAACTGTAGGAAAGTTATGCATTAAATGACTACAGGAAAGCTTAGATTTAATTAACCTTTGGAGGTTTTATTAAGTTCAATAAGTAAATAATTTTAAGAATTTTCACCTCGCTGTCTTTGAGGGCCTATTTTAGCTAAAATAGCTCATTATTAAGTAATACTTTTTTTAATTCTTGAGGCCTCCTTACGAACCATCAAGTCGCCTGTTTAGACTTTAATTTAAGGTAGAAAATTTAAGTCATAATTCACACAACATTTTCCTAATTTATATCAATTATCAAGCTGATTATTTAAGCATAAATGTACAGTTCATGACGATTTAGTTGCAAAAAAATATCGAAAACCTTCTACTTTTTAGAACTTTTTTCAGTTGTTCAAGTCCAAATTTTCAAAAATTCAGAAAAAAATCATAACTCGAAAACTATGAAAAATCGCGGAACATACAATGGGGATGATTCGGGTACCCCGAGGGGTGCTCTATAACTCTATGTCTAAACTTCAGCTTGACACTATATTTTGCGACAACCTGTATAAATGTAAAAAAAGTATTGCTTTTTAGAATTATCTACGTTTATATATGGGTTTTATAAAATTCCTATCACAGTCTCTGTTATCGTCACAATAATAGTTAGATTACGAGCAATACGCGGCAATAACGCGTCACAGCTCATTCCGGTTCGAGTTGATTGCACATCACTCACGTTAATGTAGAAACTCTGATAAACGACCCGTTTGAGCTCACATTAAGAGTTACCAAGACATACCGATGTAATGTAATCTCAAATTGTGATGGTTTTTTATAGAATAAGGGTGACAAATGAGCACACAGATCGCGGCACACTTACTATCATAAGTGGATGCTGTGTCCCATAGGTATATACATTTATCCTCAATTAAGAATCAAAATGCAGAAGCGTTTTTACCACTGAGGTTTAAGATGGAATGCTTTCCATTAAAAATAGTCTCCGGTTATCTACACTCACCATACGAAACGACAGCATTAAGCTTCTTTTTTACGCTGGTATTTTATGAGTGCGTGGTCCTACCCCGGCCAAGCCGACCCATTCGTGCTCCAACCATAATATAGCTGCAGCGTGGCTCCATCACGTAAAGGTTATCAGATGTGTTAATACTTAATGCCGGCGGCTTCGTTGACGCCCAATTTGAAAGATAGGGCAAAGTAATTTTAACGTATTTTTGATTTGATTTTAAGAAGTAATATTGATTTTTTTTAATAAAAATAAGCTGACAAACGGCCTACTGTCCACCTCATTGAATAAAACTATTTTTTAGGTTTCAAAGGCTATTTTTATACAGAGAATCAGAGGTATTGCAGGAAAGTCGTATCGATTCGGAAAAATGCGGCTGATAGCAGATTACGCAAAGCAGTCATGCGAGAGCAAATTCTAGTGTTCTTATTATAAAAAATTATGTAAAAAATACGTTAAGATATGAAGAATACAAATTGACGCAATCGATTAGCAATATCAAACATACTTCCTTTTACGCCAGTGTACAAACGAACAAGTATTATTCAATTTATTAATATATCAACAAAAAATCAAGGCATAGTTATTTATTATTTAGATTTATTATTTGAATAAATTTTGCAGTTCTATTTGTGTATCTTCTGTGCCTTCTTTGATTATTAAATACTGGCGAAGTGTTTTTGGAGAGATAGCTAATATCACTATTATCATCATTATTACAACCTTTTACAAGCCAACTGCTACTATCGAATTCCTGCATGTCTTACCAGGTCGTCACTCTAGATTGAGTGGCCACGTTGTACTCGTAAACGAAATGTAGGGGGGCCCCACTAGATGGAGTGCCAACCTGAATAACTATATAATGATTTTAATTAATTATTAGTATTTCTTTCTAATCATTTTAATTTAAGCTATGCTAGGAGTAGCTATTGTAATGAATTAAAAGCGTTTAAATTGACTAACTTAGATGAACTCTACTCTTAAGTCTCAGTTTTATTAATCCGTAGCGTGTCCAGACTTAATGGGATGGTCAAAGCTGGCCATCTTACTCATAGCTACAAAAAGAACTAAATGACGCAAGCTAGTTGCATTTTCTTACAAAATTAATGATTAATTCTAAAAAAGTATTTGTAGTGTCATTTCTGCGATTCATCTAGCCCAATTTCAGGCGCATTGCCACTATTTTAACTAGCACAAAGTTTAGTACCATCACTTCGAAGTGGCTTCAATTATTAATAGAGTCGCCAATATTTTTCGATGTCGTCATCAAAAGGGGTAGTTCCGCCATAACCACTCCCCTGGGTACATCATTTATATCAGTTTAACCTAGGCTATATAGTTTCTTTATTAAAAATTTACACGCAAAGTTCACTCATCTGTGAAGGTTATAACTGATAAATATTAATGGCTCACGGGACTATAATATGCTAAACATAAATAAACAATAAAATTTGATTGATATTCTTGAATTTTATTATAAAAGTTATTTTCATAGTGTTTTCTATAACAATATATCCGCTACAGCATTAAAGATTACATTTCTTGACGTCCATGTGATAATTTAGCCGGTCTTCCTGACGCTCCCGTCGTCCGGACGTCGTTTTAGTTTAAAAATCAATTAAGTATCGTCAGCAAATAATACTAAATCGTAGTTATCCCCTACAGCGTAATGTAAGTCATTAATATAAATGAAAAACAGGGATGGGTCTGGAAAAGAACCCTGAGGAACACCCATTGAAACAGAAACAGAAACTTTTTTATTCAATGTAGATTATAACAATACTTATTGAAAGTCACTTTTTTAATTTACCACTGGTTCGCAAAAAAAACTTCTGTCCTGTGGAAAGAACCAGCAAGAAACCCAGCGGGACTATTTTTTTTTCCAATAATAGCTTACAATCATGTTTACAATTAACAACACAAGACAAATTAGAAATAGCTTGGTAGCGATCACCCTTCCCAGGGGTTATTATCATCCATAAATTCCTTAATATTATAATAACCCTTTTTGTACAAACTTAGTTTAATAACATTTTTGAACTTTGTGTATGACAAATTTTGTATATTTCTGAGATTTTTTGTAGCGTATACATCGCCCCAAAATTGATACTGCTGATAAGAAAACTTAGATTGATATTTTGGAAATCTATGTATTATAAACTATACAAGAGAAATTAATTATAAGGTTGTAGTTTCATGATTAATGTCTCGTGATGAAAGCAGTCAAAGGCCTTGGAACAGTCATAAAAAATAACCAGAGAATTTTGTAGAGATGTCGGTCAAATGCCCTCTCTAAAGTAAACTCCTTCCACCTCTCCATGTAAAAAATTTAAACGTTAACGTGATCAGTTACCGAGACTATTATATACATATACGCTTTACACGACACAGACATCAGTAATAAACTTATTTTATTTTAGATGTCCTTTTGCTGGTCAAAAGCCTTGGCTGGCCTATCTTTGCGCATAAGCACACTGGGCAAGTGCCCTGAGCCACCCGATCCATGGGGCTCTTTACGACACCTAGTTCCTACTTCTGTTTTATTGGCTTACGTTAAGGCGACACCGTGAAAAGATGCATCTCCTTTCATCGAGTAGTATAGGACTATGACACCACTAACGAAAGTGGTATTTTGATATAGGTAAATTCATGTCTTTATCTTGAATTTGATTGCTCAAAAACACGATTGTATAATTTTGACTCGATCATAATTATTTGCGAAAACACCTCTAAAAATTCACTATAGTTGAAATTACAACGAAATCATTTGATCTATATGTTTGGGAATCACTCAAATATATTCATAATTTACTTGCTCATTATTTTGATAACTTAAATCAATAATTTTTTAAAAATATTTTAAGATTCTGACAATTTCTAAGCGCTTTTAATCGTCGCGGGCGCTACGCAATTTTAGACCTTATGACGGCGTTTCTTCAAGTTTTTATAGAAATTATGTATTCACTCGGATCAGTTCGGCGATAGCGTTTTCGATGTGTCGTCTTAATAACACTAACCCAAACGGTCGTAAGACGTCTCTGTTTTTGGCCGTTAACCCCGTTTATAATAATTTCTCAAATATTCAGTTTCTTTGTTCGGCAGGTGGTCCTGGATGGTGAGGAGGTCCAAATTGATATTTTGGATACAGCGGGACAGGAAGACTACGCGGCAATTAGGGACAACTATTTCCGATCAGGCGAAGGGTTTCTCTGCGTCTTCTCCATCACTGAACCCGAAAGCTTTGATGCCACGCAAGAGTTCAGGTAACTTGTTAGACTTATTGAATAATGATTAATGGTTTTGTATTAACATCATATGTGCATCATTATCCATCTTCATTACAGCACTTCACAAGTCTGGTGAACATAGACTTCCCATTTGAAATGCTATAAATAAAGATCTCCTGATCCTGCACCTGCATCCTTGTATCGTCAGCTTTCTCATCTGTTGTGATATGTCTGTAACTCTGGTTCCTCTGTGTATATCATCATTTCGAATTCTATCATGTAAAATACTCCGAGCATATTTTTCGAGCATGTTTATACAATATAGCTCGACCGGAGGAAGGACCACGCTCGCTAGGAATAGCAGCTTGATGTTAGTGGGTTTCGTATGGTAAATGGCGAATCCCGAAGACCGTTTATCTTTGTGCTGAGGCATAATAACGCATATGCATTTTGATTCTTAATTTATTAACTATGCTAAAAAATCAATCAGCTGAGATCCGCGTAATAAAATAGAATTCCATGTTTACCCGCAGAAATAGTAATAATAATACGATTTCTGTGGTCTTACCTATTTTAGTTTTGGTTTAGCACCTCCCGCCCTCCCTCAATTGCGTGCCATCTCTCCGTTACCACTAATCCCAGCACCAGTATACTTAACACCACTACAGTAGAAAAGACACACCACCGTCGATAATACGACACGTTTTTCGACTCTACACAAAGCATCTTTAGATAAAGTAGTAGTAGCTGACCGCTAAAGTGGTGCTGGGATTAGTGGTGACGGGGATAGTATACGCAATTGAGGGAAGGCTAAAAGTGCTCTTCAAACTAGGTAAGACATATCATTTTATTTTATTACGCCGATCTTAGCTGATTGATTTTTTTAAGATCGATAATATTATGGATTTCCGAAACAAAATACATCTCAATTTTTTTTAAATCTTATCTCCTTTGTCATTCTTCTTCTATAAAAATGTCTACTTAACGCTGCTAATTGAAAGACGAGCGACTGGTGGGACTGTTAGTTTATTATTTAAAATAAACTGTTGGAGGATTTAGGTTTCATTACTATGTGTTGTTTTTAATTTCTGCAATTAGCAATCTGCCGACCTAAAATAGGTGAGACCTCTTATAGGAGAAGTCTATATCGAGTAAAAGATGAGGGGGAAAGTACGAAAAGTTTTTAAGTTCTAATTAATATTGGAGTTTTCTTTATACGTATCAGGGAACAGATCCTGCGTGTGAAGAACGATGAGAGCATCCCGTTCCTGCTGGTGGGGAACAAGTCGGACCTGGGTGACAAGCGACGAGTGCCGCTGGACGCGTGTCGCGAACGAGCGCAAGCTTGGCAGGTGCCCTACGTGGAGACCTCCGCGAAAACGCGTGACAACGTGGATAAGGTGAGCACAGACCTAGCAGCCGCTCTACGTGGAGAATGTGAGCGCAGCCCTGCCAGCCTTTCCACGTGGACAAGGTGATCACAGCCCTGACAGCCGCTCCACGTAGACAAGGTGAGCGCAGCTCTGCCAGCCGTTCCACGTGGACAAGGTGATCACAGCCCTGGCAGCCGTTCCACGTAGGCAAGGTGAGCGCAGCCATGCCAGTCGTTTTACGTGGATAAGGTGAGCACAGAACTGACAGCCGCTTCACGTAGAGAAGGTGAGCGCAGCCCTGCCAGCCGTTCCACGTGGACAAGGTGAGTACAGCCCTGGCAGCCGCTCCACGTGGACACGGTGAGCGCAGCTCTGCCAGCCGTTCCACGTGGACAAGGTGATCACAGCCCTGGCAGCCGTTCCACGTAGGCAAGGTGAGCGCAGCCATGCCAGTCGTTTTACGTGGACAAGGTGAGCGCAGCCCTGCCAGCCGTTCCACGTGGACAAGGTGAGTACAGCCCTGGCAGCCGCTCCACGTGGACACGGTGAGCGCAGCCCTGTCAGCCACTTCACTTGAAGACCTCCGCCGAGGCCAAAAACTTCTATGGATACTACTAGACATGCAACTCATATCATTTTATGACAGATACTGTCATAAATAAAATGAGAAATCTGAAACAAAAACTTCAAATCAAATTGACAAAGTGCACACTTATATAATGATAGCGTTTTCTTAGTTACATTAAACAAAGCCAGTGTTAGATGTTCGAAAACAACGTTCACGATTTACAAAACAAAAAACTCTTCTACTTGTCCGCTCGCAGTCTAGTAAAGGAGTTACGGAGAATTGACCGTAACTTAGAGCGCAATGCATTAAGGCCGCAGAGCCCTTCTAGTAGTGTACATTGAAGTCTTTGGCCAAGACGCGCGACAACGTAGACATGGTGAGCCGCAACCATTTCTACCCCGGTCACTCCAGTCGTCCCATCCATCAATTGACCGCGCTCACACCGACCTCAGCCATCTTAGACATTTCACATTTGCACGCCGTTTAGTCTAGACTAGACCGCTGCAGTCACTCAGCCCATTCCAGTCATCCCGGTAACTCCGGTCACTCAGACCACTTCAGTCATCCCTGTAACTCTGGTCACTCAGCCCACTCCAGTCATCCCGATAAATCTGGTCGCTCAGCCCACTCCAGTCATTCCGTAAACTCTGGTAACTCAGATCACTTCAATCATCCAGGTAACTCTAGTCACTCAGCAAACTCTAATCATTCCGGTAACTCTGGATAATCAGATCACTTGAGTCATCCTGATTACCCTGGTCACTAAGACCACTTCAGTCATACTGGTCAAGGCGCCCACGTCTGCCATTCCGCAACACGGCTACCCCGGGTATACCGATCTGGTTCTTATACCGCTGCACTAGCTGCTCCGCACAGGATGGTATGAACGGTACTGGTAAGGTGAAAAACAATTACGATCAACTGTTGCTACAGTTTATTTTGTTATTGTGTCTGAGATCGTTTTATGGCATAATTTCTATATATTACATTAATATTTATGTTATACTTTATATAAGGGCGACAAATAAGCACACAGTCCATCTCATGGTGACTGTCACCTACATTTCATCTGATCACATGATGATTTAATTTTAATTTGATCTACATTCTCGGAAAAAATAATAAAAGCCAATTTTTTTTAATATACAGTAAGGGTAATAAACACTTGATGGTAAGTGGATGAGGTGGCCCATCGATATCTACATGTATCCTCGATTAGGAATCAAAATGTAGATGCGGTGTCACCCCTGAGAACTAATATGGAATGCCTTGTTTCCAGAAAAAGGGTCTCCAGTTCTCTGCATCCACCATACGAAACACAGCAGCATTAAGCTAGTATTTCATGCTGATATTCTATGAGAGCGTGGTCCTTCTCCTGTCGTGCTGACTCATTCGTGCTACAGCTTTAATATAGCTGCAGCATGCCTCTCCCACGTAATATAAATGATTAGTAAAGCTACAAAGCTAGTGTAAAAATATACGAAAAATTAATCAAAAACATGAAACAACTTAACAAAAGTAATGTACTCCTTCGCTTCACCGAGCTTGCGCTTCCTGCACCGCTTTGGTGTGTATGGCGATAGTAGAACTAGACGTTTTTTTTTTTACAAATTTTCTATTTTACCGCGTTTCTATTAACTCGCTTTCGTGTATGTCTGTTGGGGTCGAACTTAGTATATAATTGATTTTGGTTGAGTCAGGCGCACACTGCATTTTTAACAAAATTTTAAACAATTATTACTAATATAAACAAGTACATCACATATACAAGTAAATCCCGGAGAATGCCGTATACAACCTTTAACCCTTAATAAAGTTTTTTATAATAAAGATTATATTTAACTAAAGCTAGTTTAATCTTGTAGTGGCGGTGTTATAATGTAATAAGAGGCGACAGAGGGAAACAACCCTGGAGATGGGCAGCAGTCTTCCTAATAACAGCTAAAACTAATAAACAGAGGTTGTCAACCCGCCTGCCAAACGTGGCAACTATGGCTAATATCTCCCTTATGATATAATTCTTTGATTATAATTCTCCCTATGGCTAATATCTTATGAGGCAATCTATAGGTAAGGCCTATTGTTACGAGCTTGGGGTTCGTGACAATACTGCCGATTGATTTACCGAAATTGACACTTTAATTACAGAACACCAATTATAACTTAAAACACACTAATAATAAAACACAATTGTACTACTGATTACTTTAGTTCGCAGTTATATCGCTTCGAAGTATTCGCTTGAATTGCGAATTCGATACTGACTCGATCGCGGTCCTTACCGGCCTTATCTAGGGCTTGTTCTACTGAAACATCTAGAATGTTTGAGTACATACTGGTCCCGACTGACTAGGTGTAGAAAGTTCTAGTATGGAATTTTCTAGAAAGATTTTGACTCCTAGATCTGCTACTCGATACTAGATGGCGCTAGTGGTAACTCATCATGTACCAGGCGTTAATTATGGCGCGCAATACCTATGTTCAGCAGTGGACTTTTAATTAGGCTGTAACGGTAACGATAAATAACAGCTAGCACGAAGGATGTAATCTTTCTAAAGTGAAGTAGTTTAATATCATCAATCAATTGTATAGAAGCAGTGTTTATTTGTTAAAGGATTTTGTTCATATTCTCACTGTAGTAAGAAAGATCAATTTGCTATCATTTCTACACTTGGCATGGGCATCGCAGTACAAAATTTATCATACCATTGATGCTTCTTCACGTCGCTAGTTATGATTATAAATTTGTGTTATACAAAAAATAAGAGAAATTTCTAGGCTTTTATCTAACATTCTCTTAATTGATGCCTTCATTGTATTTTCCCATATCTTTAAATTTCATAATCATTAAATATTCCGCATAATTTTACTTTACAAAAGCAAACCATGGTAAACAAAAGACTTCTATATATACTATAAGACTAAAAACTGCGTCACAGCTGTGTATCGGGTGCCTGGCACGGTAAATATGCCACAAAGTTGTATTTCCTTTACACTAGTTACTTTTTTAAGACAAATACGAAATAAAGTTACATACTTATCTGAAATAAACTTTAAATCACTACTGCTCTCGCCCGCAATTGACTAAAGAAGTTACGTAGAATTGACTGTAACATTGTGCGCTATGTATAGTATCGCAGTACTCGTCTACTAGCATGCACAGAAGTCTTTAAGTGAAACATGCCGACTGATGCAGGTGACTCACAATCAGAAGTGTGTACTAATTACCTTACGCCGCGCCCCCTCACTCTGCGCCTCAAGCGTCGCACTAATAGTACCGATAGCAGCGCCTTCGTAATGTTTTACGTATTTGAAATATTTTAAATTTAAAATAAAACTATAAAAATTTAGTTATTTTATAATTGTATTGGACACGTTCCTATTCATTATTATAATGTTACTTTACTAATTAAATTATTTTATAATATATATTTTATCTACTTGTTTGCTCTCAATTTCAAAAAATTAAGCAAAACTAAGTGACTAGTTTGTTGTCCTGTACACAACAGGACAACAAACTAGTCAGTTAGTTTTGCTTAATTTGACAAAAAAAAATAGTTATCATGTTTATGTGATATTATAGATAAACATGATAACTTTTTTTTCTACGGTACCGTCAGCTATGATATGATAACGGTCGACGACGGCGAACTTGAAATAAACGCGTAGTAGTATGCTGTGAGGAATAATTAAGAACGTCTTAAATATCTTCAAAATGTTTCCCTGATCTAAAACAACCATTAAACAAATATTTGTAATGTAGAAATTTATAATAAGACCAGAAAATCTCAGTGTGCGCCTGACTTTTGTTTAGCTAGTCCCATAGTTTGTTGAAACTAAGCCAGGTTTTTATATTTTAGTTGGTGATAACTATGAAAGATTAAAGATGGTTAAAGATGGAAGATGGAAAGTTAAAGATTTGGCTTTATTAAATTACGAGATTCTAATTATTGCATATTTAATATATTTTTACAAATATAAGAGAACAATTATTTTGTATTTATGTGTGACGTTTATGCGAAATAGTCTAAATTACCTACGAGATATTTTATTTGCAATAAAATACTCTCAGAACAGTGACAACATCTAGCATACAAAGAAATGGATATAATGCACCCATTGTAAATCCTGTCTATTATGGGAAAGGTTCATATCAAGCAGAATGATGAGGTGTATGTCTTATTAAACAGGAATCTGGTGAAGGGTTTCTCTCGCTGCCTTTCCATAATTTGTGTGTATACAAAGACTTCTATGTTTACTACCAGACGGGCTCTGCGGCCGAAGTTACGGCTGATTCTCCGTAACTTCTTAAATATACTGAATACTGACGATAATCTAACACTAATTTTGTTTAACATTACTAAGTATACACATACATTATTTATGTGCCCACTTTGTCAACACGATTTAAAGTTTATTTCAGATAAGTATATAACTCTATTTGGTATTTGCCTAAAAA